AAACTGCATTAAAATTTTTTTCTCATCGGCACACCGGCTATGTTTGGATGTAATTTATGATGATATAACATTAATTATTCGCTGACGTTTTAAATATCAATCACATAAGATGTAACTAACTTCTTTTATAAATTACATTTCATAAAACATAAAGAACAATAGCCTTCATGCATTTTATTCGTTACGTTGATTGTTTAGAGATTTAATTTTACTGTTAACTGAGGATATTGTTAATTGAGATGTTTCTTATAAAGTTTATTATAATTTAAGAGAATGATTTATCATTCGATCATTATATATTTCGAAAACTGTTTTATTATTGTTATTAATCCTTCAATGGCTTGCGCAATAAAATCGAATTATCAATACAGTACTTGAGTTTCGTTGCGCGATGACTTTGAGATAACCGCGTGTATGTAAATAATATAAGCTATATCATCGTACAAAATATGGTAGTTGAATTTCATAATTTGAATATTTCATCATCGTATGAAATATATATTATAAAATAATGATGTAAGTTTTGTAATTCTAGGCATTAATTTGAAGTGTATGTATGTCTTATTATCTTCTTTTTTTAAATAGAAATAGAAAAAGGAAGATAATAGGCGTAAACACCTATATAGATATATATTAAGCCAATGTCCAGAATTATAAATCTTGGACAGCATTGCTATAAAATAAATATTAGCCGAAAATTCTGTTAAATGTATTTCAAATTAATTTCACAATAATTGAATAATTATCGCAATTAATATTTATTTAAAGAATCAAATTTATCTTTTTATAATCGAAAATAACGATATGACATGCTATAGCAACATATTGAGTAATTATTTACGACAAAATTTAATTGTTACGGGAAATATATAATTTATCATGACTTTTTTAATATTTTAAAACGAGAAAAATTGATTGATTTTAATAAAAATTAAGAAAAAATGAATCACTATATCTTTGCAATAATTTTATTATCTTGATTTATTAAAATCATACGTAATTTCTTCTCAAAATGTGAAAATTTGTAAAAAAAAAAATAATAATATAAATAATTAATATATTTGTTATTATGTTAAAGATACCAAAGAATAAAATCAGATGAACAGAAAATATTATGCATCGCAATATTTTGGTTTTTATTTTTATCTTTTTGATAAAACAAATTAAAGATAAGTATAGATGTAAGTTTTGTCTGTTATTCAATATTAAAAAAAATCGATTTTATTTTACGCTTTTTATATCTTATTTTATAAATACATCGCGATCGATAAAGGATTAATAGTTAAGCGAAAAAGCTGCTCCTCGAGCTTTGCCGAACAATTTTCTAACTTCTCCTACAATTTTTTTGACAAGTCAAACGATATCTTACCCTTTAATGGTAGTTACTCCATAAACAGTATCGAAAATGCTATTGCGTGCCGATCGGACGTCCTCGTCCTTCCTGTCTATCAGCTCGCGGACATGCAGCGTCTTTGCATTCGAGAAATCCGGTTCGACGATATCATTCGTTGTTTCCATTTTTAAGCAGATCGCGTATCCCGTCGAATACGCGGAAATCAACTTCTCGCGCGTAACACTCGTCGACACTTCTCGCAATCGCGACCGAGCGACGAGCTTTTCGCGTATTAATGCACGCTCGCACGCCTCGCACGACAGAACTACACGGAGCAAACTTCCCTCGTGTATAGCGCGAGTTTCTATTGTTTCCAGGACACGCGACGCGTGAAGGATGGTGCGGTTCGGGAGACATTCGTAGGGCGCATGTGAGACATAGAAAGCAAAAGATAAACATTATTCCTCGCGTTCTAAATGTACATATATACAGGATATCCCGGACGAATGTGTTGTGTGTTCGAACGATACAATTAATTTCTTTTATCCTAAAAATCTCCTAAAAATTAATTTAAATTCAGTTAATTTATTCTCAATTATAATATTAATTTTGCATGCTTTTAAAAAACATGAGTTATTGTTTTACTCACAATCAGAGTTGAATAAAATTGTGAAGAAACACTCTTTAAATTTTTAGGAAATTATATTAAAAGTAAAGAGAAAACATAAAAAGGTTTACATTTGTATAATTATGCTTCAGCGATGTAAAAGTGATTGGGGAAGACATTTTATCTTCTAAAAAAATTGATCACCATTATTATTATTAACGACATATTTTCGATATAGAAAGCTGTTAATTAGCAAGTTTAAAACATGTTTTACCCGATACTTTCACAAAATGTTGGCTAATATGTGATGTTATTGTTACGTATATACTTATGTATACTTAAATAAAGATATAAATACGGCTAGATATAATAGATATAATCAGATATAAATATCTGAAGATAAATTTAATAAAAAAGGGAAGAAAGTAGTCAGTAGAGAGTCAACGCGATTAACGGTGCGTGAAATTTTATTATTTATTCCGAACTAAAATGCAAACATTTCGACCAACGGAAAGGATTTCGCTTTTTTCAATGCAAATTATATAAATAAAAACCTGTTCCTAATACATAATATAATTATCGCAATTTAAATATATATATATATATATATATATAGTCATATATTAAGCGCATAATAGCTTGTAAAATGATCATATTGTTATCACAAATTTGAGTTCCAAAGAGAGGACCGGAATAAAGATGTTATATGACAGTGATCAATTGTTTGATAAACCAATAAAACCAGTCATTTTTCGTGGAATTATTGTAAACGATATATCATCGATTGGAACTATTGTGTTGTTAATAATTATTATGAAAATAATGCGGAGAAAATTTAATGCTGTGTCAGTTAAGAATTATATGAAAATTAATATGGAGTGAAAATTATTGCGAATAATTCTCAACTGACACAGTCGTATTAAATTTTCTCCACATTATTTTCATAATAATTATTAATAACACAATGATTCATCCAACCAATGGTTGATGATACGTTTGACGTTACAATAATTCTACGGAAAATGACTGGCGTTTATACATTGGTTTATCAAACAATTGATTGCACTGTCATATAACACCTTAATTCTGGAACCTTTTTGCAAATCAAATTTTTGTGGTAACAAGATGATCATTTTACAAGCTTTTATGCGCTGTTAATATGTGACTATCTTATCTCTAGAATATTTAGATTGTGATATTATAATATGTATTAGGAAGTATATTATGTATTAGGAATAGATTTTTATTCATGTGATATTATAATTTGCATTAACAAGGACCGAAATCGTTAGTCGAAAACGTTTACACTTTAGTTCGGAATAAATAATAAAATTCTACGCATCGCGTTAACTGCGTTAACTCTCTATTTTTTCCCGTATATATTTAACTGCATATCTGATTCAAATGTCTTACTACTGTGAATGTTTAAATAAATGTAACGAATAAAAAAATTATATACAGCAGATATTTAAAAAGTATTATTCAAGCATCTGTACAAAGTAATATAATTTTTTAATTAAAAATTCATTTCGCTTTTCGTGCCAAGTAGTGCACGACGCAAGAATTATTTTAACAACAGCAAAATTTAATGCATAAATGTTCGCAGCAACAGTATACAAAATTTATATACTGCTAATTACAATTTTTCTTTCTTACTATAAAGTTTCATTTTTATTAATGAGTCATATAGAGAAAAGATAATTATGTAGAAATATTTTTATTCATTTTATTTGTATGTTCGCGTGCATATTATTTATTATTTAATGATACCTTAATAGCAATTTATTGACGATACATTAATTAAACATTGAGGATATATTGGGTTAATATTGGGCTAATATTTGGCCAGTGGTTAATATTGTGCCATTTGTGCCAATAATTGTGCCATTAGGATATTATAAGCGAATTCGTTCTTATTATTCTTATTATTTAATATAATGTTTTTCTTTTAAGTCGATGGTTGGTTTAATCATATTTTTTTCGAACGTATTTATCTTTAAGGAAAAGTTAAAAAATATCGTGCAAAATACAAACAAAATATGCATTCTGAAAATGATTTCTCTTCACTGACAACAGTGCAAACGGTTTTATTCATGGTCTCACGTTCATTGTTTCTCATTGAATGGTGACAAATGTGCATACTAATGATTTCAACGCGGATTCTCTCGATTAGATATTCCGATGTTATCGCTCTACGTTTGACCTTAATTATCCCGCATTTTCAAGCGACGCCCGGTTTATTGTTGTTAGGACGCATTTAGTATAATGTCTACATTCTACATGTTACAGAGTTATTATAGAATGTGCTATTTAATTTACGAAATAATAGTACCTGCTGAACTCTCAGTTGTTAGTCTGTTTTATTATTCTATCAGCATACAAGAATACATGTTTTGCATGCATTTTAATGCTTTTGACGTGATATAATTATATCATGACGTATATTAATTAAATTTAATATATCAAACTATAAATTGATTATATACTGTAAATATTTAGCTTATTGAAAAACGAAAAATTACGGACGTTTTTGCAAGTGTTATTTTTAAATAAAATCTTATTTCTTTCAAAGTTCACGTATTATAAAATGATTTTGTCTACATAAAAAATAATGAAACAAGATGCTAACAAATAAATAAATTTTACGTAATAATTTTCTTGTTTTATTAAATTAAACGAATTTTTTTATCTGAATCTAAATAATAAAAAAAGAGGCTATGAGAAATGTTTTCTCAATAAAATATACATAAAATATAAAAAAAAATAATGAAAAACTTTTATACCGGTTGGTCTAAAATTTTGTGGAAACGTTTGCTATTCTGTCACCTGATTGCGCCACTAAGCACTTCTCTCCTCCAAGTGGAACACACCGAGTGAACATGACGAGTGCAGACGTGTCACGTGATTTACGCGCGTCCTTGGGCGTACGTAGAGGGAGGACAAATCGAGATGAATGAAGCATAATCGTTGAACGCCAACGTGTGTTTTTACTATAAAGTGAACAAAAGATATAAGAATAGTTGCTCTTGGCAAGGATACTTTTTAGTTTGCCATTGCCTTCCGAGAGGATCTACGAGCGTTCGAAAACATTTTTCAGTTCTGCCTGGGATTGAACCTGGGATCTCTGGCATAGTCTCGTTCATTTAGCAGTTTCGTTCGTGCGCTGCTTGTACGTCACAATCGTACTCTATGATTGTGTGCATACCAGCGTGCACAGACGTATGAGAGAAGTCATCACGCTCGGCCACGAGCAATAGGACTGAGGACGAATAAGAGACATATTCAGTAAAAATTAGTCAACATGGCTAATCCCAATCTCACGGATATGACAGAGGAGGATGCAGCGGATCTGCAATTCCCGAAAGGTACATTTATTTCCTAACCGTTACTGATGAACTAGTAGGAACGCTATAGCTAACCTCACTTTATTGATACTTGTTGATATTAAACATTGACAGTAGATGTTAATAGCGAGGGCTTTGAAATTGCACGAGCTTACAATAAAGAACGTAAATCTAATCGGCTGTTTTATATTTTAACTCTGCTGATATTTATCTACTAAAAAGAAGAAACGGAACAAGTGTGCAAATACAGTTTGCTGCTATGTAAACAACAGCAGTGTTAACACGTTAATGTAAATTTTAAATCTTCACTCATGTATGAAGCTTAAGCACACGCAATTTCAAACAATTCTATAGAGTATTCGCTTTTTACGTTAACATTACTATAAAATGCCTGCACATCCGAGCGGTCAAGTCTAAGGTAACAATTTTCCTCTTTCAGACTGTTTATTGAGTCCAACAGACAAATCTGAAAATGACGTAGAACTTGAGGTGTCAGTCTTGAAGGACAAAATTCTTGCCTCAGATCCAATATGCCGCGTGTGCAGGTCTAACCTAGTGGAACCATATATTCGTTGCGCCATGTGTACCAATGTCGAGATATGTCCACCGTGCTTTGCCAAAGGCTGCGAGATCGACGAACACAAGAATGATCACGACTATGTTATTATAAAGAATGAATTTCCTCTAATTGAGGGTAGCAATTGGACTGCCAAGCAAGAACTCGAGTTACTACATGTTCTGCAACAATGTGGTTTTGGAAATTGGATAGATGTGGGACGTAGGATGCATAGAAAGTCTGCCACTGAGTGCAAAATGCATTATTTGCAGCATTACATAGACAATCAAACTCTGCCGGATCTACCGAAAATTGAGGAAAATAGAACCAGCTTATTTGGTTGCGAACCGATACCTTACATGCACAAGTTGCAAGACCTGGAAGAACCACCTAGATTTGCTTCAAACACGAGCAACAGCAGACTGTTGGCAGGTTATAACGCGGCTAGATCCGATTTCGAGGTGAATTTCGATAATCATGCAGAATCATTGATATCCGAGCTTGAATTCGACGACTTTCAACTGGACGATGACACATACGAATTAGGACAAGCTTTGCAAGCGGCAATGGTGCAGGCGTACAACAACAGATTAAAGGAGCGCAAGAGAAGACATAGAATTATTCGCCAACATGGACTAATCGCATTACGCAAAGTTATATCCTCGATACAGAGATACGAGAATACAATAACGAGGCCACTCGCAGAGAGATTGCTGATATTCATGCAACTCATAGATGGGATAAAATTTGATTTTTTCATGGAAGGTCTTCACCGCGTTGGCGAGTTAAAGAATCATATCAACAGGTTATTAGAATTCAGGCAAAATGGACTCAAGCACTTTCATAGCGTATCCATGTTCCAGAAATTAAGTAAATTGAGGCAGGAATATGAGAGGGAAAGAAAGCAGTATCTAAACAATCCGGAATACAACTGGAGAAATGTATTACCTGATAATGTTGTTAACTGTAACAGTCCGATTCTCGGAAACACACAACGCAAAACCGCGCCGCCTCTCGCTATAAAAGGTTTACCGGGATACGAAAAACTGAGCGCCGACGAGAAAGAGCTTTGCTCCGTCGTGAGAGTCATGCCCGCCAATTATTTAGACTTTAAACATCTCTTGATAACGGAAAGTAAAAAAAATGGTTATCTTAGATTAGCCCAGGCCCGTATTCTCTTAAAAATCGACGTGAATAAAACGCGAAAGATATATGACTTTTTGGTGGAAAAGGGACATGTAAATAAGCCAGCTCAGTGACTATTTTAAAGTAGTTGACACGGTGTAGAAATATAGTATACGAAATATAGTATTGTGATAGTACAAATATTAATATTGTGATAGTACAAATTAAGTTATATTTTTAATGGAAATTCGGTATTTATAGAAAAAATAATTATTAGATAATGTCGATTTCTAGTAAATGAATTTCTATATTTAAAAAAAGTTTGTGAAATAGATTGCAAATCCTCTTTTCTTTTATCCTGCCATTTTTATTAAGATTTTTTAAATTTATTATTCAAATAACGAAGGTAATAAATTCCTTCGCAGAATTTGAAAATGCAGAGACATTGTTGATATCAGAAGTTTATATGCTTCTTGAGCATAGAAAAGCTCAAAATGAATCAGCAGAAGAAGAACAAGAATTTTCTGAAGTTTTCATGAAGAGCTTAACATACACCAACCGATTCGGAAAGTTAAAAAATAAAGAGACAATTGCAGCTGTTAGAAGGTAGATTATTAATATAGATAATGAATTTATTAATATACGTAAATCATTTTAAATAAAATGTTAAAATGTAAAATGCTTGTAATATGTTACACGCGCGCGCGCGCGCACACACACACACACACACACAAAATGAAATGTACAAATAAATTAAATACAATGTGAAATATAATATTTTTACACTATTGCAGTTTGTTAATGCAAAAGAAGCTACACAAATTCGAAATTGCTTCGTTAGCCAATTTGTGTCCTGAAACTCCAGAGGAGGCGAAAGCTCTCATTCCGAGTCTCGAAGGACGCCTAGAAGACGAAGAACTCAGAACGATATTGGATGATATACAAACAAAAAGATCATTACAATATTAAAATAAACTTTATATATCCTTCTCATTTTCCTTTGCAATTTCTTTCAAAAATATAAATACGAATATCTCTAATACGGAGCAAAATAATTTCAACATGGATTTTGCTGAAAATACATTATATTAATATATTCATATATTGCTGTAGGCACCAACAAGATTTCATTAATTGTTATTTTAACGCATTTTATCAATATTTATTATAATTAAATTCTATTAAAATTCTGCGATTCAATTATTACGATTAATTAAATCATAATTGTCGATTTATATTATAATTATTATTTGAAAAAGGCAGTATTCCATAAATTAAATACAATTTGTCATTATAAGTTGTGTTAATCCTAATTCAGAGTCATCATCTTTTTAAAAATCTTTTCATA